TGAATCCTTAGAGAGCAGAGGACATAAAAGCAGTCTTGGCCAATTTCACAATTTACATTAATTATGGGCGTGTTGGTGTATCATCTACTTATAATTTTGACAAGACACAGTACTTTATAATATGAGAACAAAGATCAGCTCGGAATGACGACATTCAAAAAACGCACCCCCTATAAAAAAAGAGACAGAACCAAGGAACTCGATCATAGGACACAATAAAAGAAACAGGAATGAACTAAAGGACGAAATACGAACCTATGTGGCTTTATTACTAAGACCATCACATCTGACATATGCACATTATATAGATCATGACGAATAGTAATTTGCTAATATCAAAATTGGTGGCGTTAAAAAAATCCAGTACCCGTTGTGTGCTTTCTGACATGACTTTCAACCTGTTAGCATTTATTTAGTGTATTAAGTTACCTACTCAGGGTCACGATACTTTTAATACATTATCATGCATCTATAGACGCAGGATTACAAATGTCTTCATGACATACCTCAGTAAAGTGACACAACATTGTTTTATCTAGATGCTTATAATTGAATAACATAACCATAAAAATGAAAATATAACCAAGAGGCAATAAAAAGGGATTCAAGTGATTATTTTTGAAGACGCCAAATGCAAGAGTCTCCACTGTACAGGATGTGAAAAGACGCATAAAAGTACCTTCATTGTATTTGAAAGCACACATAATTTTTGCACATATCTGTAAATGCATTGTTCATTAATAACAGTTTAGATAGTCCAAAAGTTTTATTATCCAACTAAAATAGGAGTTCCAAGTGCAAATGCGTTTCTCAAACTAAAATAATTATGTACCGGGGCTCAATGTATTGATGAATGAACGTCTAAAAAATCAGAGGTTCATCCTAGAATAACTTCGTGAATTTCTGTGAAAATAGCTTAAACACTTAAAATACAGTACACTATGGGTAATCTTAAAAGAGGTTTCGATATTTAAACTTCAATCCCGATATTATTTGATTCGACAACAACAATTCTGGAATAAAAACTGCTCTTGTAAGTGTACATTTACGGAGAACAAAACACGCATTAATAAATGAATAACGTGCCGTTGTTCTACGTTTTTGTATTTTCTGATCGCAGATCAGAAAATTCAATGCTGACATTCAATCTCTGACACAGAAGCTTCACGACAAACCTAACAACAAGTAGTTCTCAAAACAGCTTAAAACTAGCGATGTAAAAGAAAGAAATATTTTTACTTTGTTACAAGTATCAAACAAATTACAACGCATTCAAAGTTTAAAAGTAGCGTTGGCTTATAGAATTGTCAATTCACCAATTACGCGGATGAATATGAAAATGCTATTTTTTGCGATGTCGATTACCGAATACCTCAGAACGTATTACACCGTCGAGTAGTGGAATATATACATGTCGGACTGTTTTGTCGAAACTATTTTCGCTAAATTATTTACATCAATGTTAAACAACAGGTATATCGTGAACAAAATACCTCGAAATTAATAAGGATTACCATGGAGCTAAATATAAGATTTATATATCTGTGGGATTACAAACCCTGCATGGATATTCTAAAATTAGAATTATTTGATTTTTTTCAGGCTGTTTTCGTTAAGCATCTTCGTGGTGCAGGGGTTCAAATCCCAGTCGAGGCAACTTTTTTTTATTAAGGAAGTAGCCACGATATGCAAGGATAAAAGGATAAAGTGTGGCTGTCAAAAACAATGAACATAAATGAGTTTTGATGCATCTCTAGTCATGCAAAATTCCGTATGTATCACACTCAAACTGTTATATACTAAAAAATCCAAACGCAGTCGCTGCATCTCGGTGCCCTGTGAATTATATTATATAAAAATAAACTTATACAGGAAAATACATACAGATATACATTACGATTTAGATTGCAAAGATCAGAAAATACCACAGAGCTTGCAGCCCTTAAATTTTAATATGCGGTAGCATGTAAAATACTATATAGAAGCTGACTGCAATGACAACCCTCGAAATCTTATAATCAATATAATATACAAGTGCAAATGTTGCTTCAATGCAGCAATTGAGAAGATCCGCCCAAAAAAATGCACTCATTACAGATACCTTACCAAATCATTTCTGCGCACAAGTCATTTTCTATTTAGATTAAGAACTAGCTGTCGTGTATCAAGAACATCTTCAATTCTACCATTTGAAATAAATCATATTTCTTCATTATAGAGTTACATTTGAAGCGCTGACACATAGCTGATCCCCTTTAATCCTGAATAACGTACAACACGACCAAAATTGAAATGTTGCAGGCTCGGTTTGATTGAGCCTGTTCATGGACGGTACTGGAATGAGCAAGTTGCCGTCCATGCCCCGGCTTAGCACCGGCTTAAGCAGAATTCAATATGAACTGGTAATATTTGGAATTTTGAAACATCCGCAGATGTGTTCATATGGCGGTTATCATGGAACCTTCAATGTGACACGTTAGTTCATTTCAATGTTAAGCGGCATATGGTTCCCAATTAAAAATGCGTTTGCCCTAAACGAGAAAACAATGGGCGGAACTAAATAAAATTGAATTTGGAAGGGGATCAGAGGTTATGAAGCCTGCATATCACAGATTATACGTCAAAAGACAAATTTAAAAGGCAGGCCAATATCCTAAGGGTGATTCAATAGTATTCAAATTAGGAATACTGGAACCACCCAACAAGAAAATAACCGAATAGAAAGAATTAAAGTACTGCAAGTACAAAAATCATATCGTGCTGAAGGATCTTTAGGGATCGAAAATATAGCATCCTTGATATAATAGAGAGAAATAAAGATTGACTGTACGGGGCCACTTTTTACAGCCTCCACATGGCACAAACAACGCTGATGTGGCGATAAAATAAAGAGAAATAAAGAATCCCTTAAGAACGTACAAAACGACAAAATTGAAAATGCTGCAGGCTCGGTTTGATTGATCCTGTTCATGGAGGGTATTGGAATTTGCAAATAACCGTCCACGCCCACTAGCATCGCCTAAAGCAGAATTCAACATTTAACATGAACTGGTAAAATTTGGAATTTTGAAATATCTGCAGATGTGTTCATACGGTGGGTATGCAAGTTTCATTTTCTCTTGGAAAACTGTTGTCATTGGGCTGTTGTTGTTGATTTTGTTTGAGTTTCAGTAAAACTGTATGATTTTTTTTAATTCATGCTGAGTTTTAGTCACAAAATTCAGATAGCCTTGCTTAAAAATAATATTCACTTTTTGATGACGTCAATTTGACCGCTTTAGCACTTGCTTATGTCAAGCCACTTACTAAGTTTATGACTTTCAAGCAGCTCCATGCAGCAAATTCTTACTTGGTATAAATGCATTAATTATATATGTATAGAATGACAACAAACAAGTGTGTAATTTGATTTTTATCTTATACAGTTATGATTTTTTTAAACGGCTTATGTTAAGTATTTTACAATTATATATGATCAGTACATGTGCTAGGATTGTCAAATGTACATTTTATTTGGTTAAACCCGTTTTTAAAGGCGTTTTGAGCTCGACACCCGTAGTACGGGAAACAGGACGTTTCGGCCCCAAACCAAATCGGCCCCAGTCGAAAAATCGGCCCCTGGACGTTTCGGCCCTTTTCCGTGAGACGTTTCGGCCCCACTATAGTATATTGCTTGATTGATTAACAACAATTTATTTAATAACAATTAAACAATTATGACACTTTAATTCTTTAAATGATTATTTATTATCTTTTGATCTCTTGAACCATTTAGATGTACGTTAATGTTTTTAAAGGTGTAACAAACAATAAAGGCAGGTTACTTAATTTATAAAACAAACCACTAAAACTTCTGGATTAAGAAAGTTAATTACAATTATTACTTAGATAACATTATCTTTTGATCTTAATTAAACTATACGTAATTTTTTTCAAGGTGTAACTAATTAACTGTTTATATAGCTTTATGCTAATTGGCGGTAAGTAATATCAGAGAAAACTTCAAAAGATATGAAAAACGGTTTGCTATAATCTCATGATAATATTTTTAATTATTATTGCTATTAGATAATGATAGATGCTAGCTGTTATAAAACTGATTGAAAAACTGAAACCAAATTATAAATGCTATGTACATGCTATAGATAAGTTATAACATTCGAAAATAAAGTGTTTGTGCGTATAATTGTTGGAATAAGTTCATTATATATAAAATTAAATTTGATAAATTATTTATATATATATTAATTGATTCATTTAATCATTGAAATGCTATTAATATATCGGTTTAAAATACAGTACATATTATGGGGCCGATTTGGTAAAGGGCCGAAACGTCCGGGGCCGAAACGTCTTGGGTAGTTTGGGGCCGATATGTCTTGGGGCCGAAACGTCTCGAAATCGTAGTACGTGTCTGTGGTTGAAATCTTAATTTTATCACATTAACCCTGGCGCCGGAGTGTAATAAAGCCATTTAATAAAAACGATATTACACTAGTGTAATAACACTTTGACGTGACGTCATTTGCACTATATAAAATCATAGCGTTAAAGCGCGCTAATGTAAGCGCGTCATTGAAAAATTACTCATTTTAACAGTTTACTGTTCTTATTTTATATATGTGATAAATAGAATATTATATTCATTTCGATTTAATACTAAATTTATTGAACGAGTTGAATAAAATCATATTATGCGAGCCTCTGGCGAGCATAATATTGTTTTATTCAACGAGTTCAATAAATTTAGTATTAATTTAAACTACACTCATTCAATATCCTCTATATAATATAATTATTATTTATTCATTTACATATAAACGATTTAAATCTTTTTTATTACGCCTGATACATATGGCTGATATTGACGAGGTGACCAAAAAGTAGACGAGTGTACCCGTATAGGAAGAGTGCACAAGAAAGGTGTCGAGCCCGATTTGACAAAGGGCCGAGTTGACCTGACAGTATCCAGACGAGGACCGTGATAGTACGGCATTTAGTCAAATCCGGAAATGATTCTTCCATCCAAAGCGAAAATGAATTTCAAGTTTTATTTCAGCATTTATATCGTTATTGCGTTAATGTCATGTGATACAAACTGTATAAGCGTAAGGATTGATACGAGTAAAATACATTCCACTGTTAATCCAAAGTTCGTTAATGTTGCAGTAGACTCCGGATTAGTTAAACACCATTGGGAAAATTTTCAATGGAAGTATGACATTTGAATCATTTTTGGACTCTGCTCATTTTCATGTACATATGCATGCTAAAAAATTTGAATAAACTTCTTTCTATCTATCTTCCGTCAATGTCCCTTGCAGACCTGGGGATGATTACGTCATGGATCAGTAATTGATTAACTTACAATTACTTTTAGATTTTATCGTAATTGATCAGTCTTGCCTCTGTAATCAATTAAATTACAATTACACATACTTTAAGCGAGTAATTGATTACATTCAATGCACAGTAAAATCCCTACTTAAGATCACCTAAAAATTAAGACCACCCTGCTATTAAGACCATTTTTTATTCCGGATCGGTTCGACTGTCCGGCTTTTATCCTTGTTACATGTATACAAATTTAATGGCTTTGCGAAAGGTGCCAAACCTGGGGAAAAAAAACGAAAATCTACATCAGAGGAGCGCGCAGAACAGCAGTAAAAGGATGAAAAGAATAGACCCGAGACAAAATTTAATGAAAAAAAATGGAAACAGGACCTTGAATCGTTGGTGTATGACAGGGAGGAGATGACAATGCGCTGTATGGACTGTGCCGATTTTTACGGCGAATAAAAATAAAACCAAAAAGTGTCTTAGAAATACAAACACAAATTTTCCTTTGATTTTGATTACTTTCATTCGGTCTGACTGATTTTCATAATTTGTCAGACCAAATGTCGCTGACATTTTTTTAAAAACTTTTATAGTGTAATCATGAAATCAGTTAAAAAATCAATGATTGCGATTAATGATTATCCCAGGTCTGGTCCCTTGCTGGGAGTCGTAGACATATCTGTGCGTTAAAATCACCTGAAAAGTGAAAAATCTAGTTGTTTAAAAAGAGGATAAAAGAATGTTAAAAAGAGGGGGCTGGTGTAGGGAGTAGGGCAACTGCAAGGGGTAGGAGGTTTCAGTGGTATACCGTCCTAGGAAGAAAGAGAATTTATAAGAGTCTGAAGTTGCTGTAAATTACGTATAACATAGGGGATGGCCATGGCGTGATGTTCGGGGGAGAGTGGTGTTACATATTATTCTATGGGGATAGCAACCAGAGTGAGACCATGTTTAATTATACAGAAAAGGGATAACCTAGCATCTATACGTCTGAGTTCCAGTTTTCAAAGCTTAAGGGAGTGAAACATGTTCGTGATGCCTGAGGTCTGACTATAATTTAGCTTTATCCATCCGGCTGCCGCTGCTTTTCTTTGGACATTTTCAATTTGATTTGTATTTTGGTGTGGGGTAGTGACCCGGTATCCATCTAATTAGACTTGTCAAAGAGACATCAAGATAATTTTAGACAGACAATGTCTTTTCCAAATGAACTTAATGGATAAAGGGAATTTTGGTCTTTTTCCTATTATTAGTGCTGTTAAGAAAAAGTCAATTTGTACTTGATTGGAATTTTGCAAACATAATTATCAGTCTTGGTAATATTTTATCAAAGCTTTACACATGCAATTTGATGCAATTTTTTTTTTTTGCACAAAAAAGCAATATATATTATAATACCATTTGTTTTGTCTGATACATAATGTTAGATAGCATGTGACCAAGCAGGACGAGGTGACTGGTTCAGGACCAGTTGACCAAAATTATGGGATGAGTTGACCTGACATTGCTTTAAAGTTACCATACATTTTTTGCAAATGTAAAAAAAAAGATTAGACAAACATGTAATTGACTTTATTTTGAAAAATTTACTCATTACACTTAATGTTGGTGAATGTTGTCTTTGATATTTTGAGAAATCTTCACTGATATTTTTAACATTTCAGTTCCACAAGGGTGATAACTTTAGCTGCAGGTTTAGCTCCAAGTTTTATGAGAATGGGAGGCACAGGGGCAGATTTTCTCATTTTCAAGTATGTGTAGAATTTATTAGAAAAACACAAATAGGCTTCCTGAAATTTGCCAGTCATGTAAACTGTCAACTAGTTAGAAATATAGCTTATAGCTTCCAACACAATTGAACTAAAATAAATTTGTATAAACCAACTAGTTAGATATATTTATGGTCATTGTTTCTGGTTATGTCTAATATTACAAACAAAACAAACTTTTGAAATAATATAAAACACTAACAATAATGGTACATGTACAGGGATTTTTTTTGGCTTATTTTATAGCCGACATTCGGTCATATTCCCAATTGAAAATAGTACATTATTTTCCCAATTCACAGGAAAAAATTCCCAATTGCAAGTTACTAAATAAAAATATTGAATAACCAATTCTAAAATCTTTCAAAAGAAGGCCTTTTTCACTGTTATGCCTTATGGTGTTTAAATGTTTGAAGATGCCATCCTAAACAATGATTCTTTGCATTCATTGAATCACTGCATAATTAAAGTCGTGTATTTTTCCCAAATTTTAATGAAACATCGCTGAAATTCCCAATTCCATGGGTATGGGTCATGTTCCCAAAATCCTGGAAAAAAACCCTGATGTAGGTGGAAACATTAAGAATCATATGTTTTCAGACTGACTACTTCTTTTTAAGGGAACATTTTTGCAAAATTGTAGATAATGCGATTCCATTTGAGCTGCGCCATGACAAAACCAACATAATGGGTTTGCGACCAGCATGGATCCAGACCAGCCTGCGCATCCGCACAGTCGATCAGAATCCATGCTGTTCGCTATCAGTTTCTCTACTTGTTATAGGATTAGTACGCGAACAGCATGGATCCTAAGCAGACTGCGCGGATGCGCGGGCTGGTCTGGATCCACGCTGGTCGCAAACCCATTATGTTGGTTTTGTCATGAACCGGCTCATTTAAATATTACCTTTATATTCTGCATTACAGTTGATTTTAATAAATTTTGGAAAATTTAGATTTTGCAATACATGTAATTTTATTTCAGAAATGACAAACTGTCCACTAGCCAAGGCCATAGATATGATACCCAAGTTAAGAAAACACAACAATGGCTGACCAAGAATACAAGAGAAATTGTTCAGGAGATTGGTATAAAGGGAAGGACAAAAAGAGATGTGGTCCATAATGATGAACCTTTGGTCAACTTTACTATGACTGGTAAATAAATAATTATATACATACAAATGTACATACATTTTAATAATATTTTTATCACATAGATTTTTACATGTAGTTACATAGTATTTACTAAGCCCGTATTCTAAATGATTTTCTATAGTGTTCTTAAAAGATATAGATCTACTATGCTCAAAATTGATATTTTAACATATTGATAATTGCTACACAGTCTCTTTGTAAATATAAGATAAATATGTTTTGACTTCACACAAAGTAGATATATTATGTTTAAAATTCTAAACACTATAGTTGATCACAATATGAATATACATTGTCATTAGAAAATAACCTGGCAGTTTTTTTAAGAAAAGACCAACTATACTTGACCTGTAAAAGGGAACGCAGCTTCACATACATACATGTAGTTTATTCATTTGTTCAGACTAGACATATTCATTAAGAATTTTATAGATTTTAATAAATTTCTGTGATTAAAATATATTACTAAAAGATGAGCATAGTATATCTTTAAATTATTGAAGACCATAAATTTATAAATATATAAAAAGGGCAGTAGTGACTTAGTAATTATGATGACTGCTTTTCAATTCACTCCTTATATGACGGTTAGTTGAAGGACGTGAACTCTAGGACGAGCTAGAGCAGAACAAATATTTCCAGTCACTTCAAGTCAAAAATCATCGAGTCTTTAAGAAAATAGTTATGAAACTTCTCTCGGTTTGAAAATATGGAGATAGAGCAACCACTAACCAATGGTCAGACTGCATTATAACATAAAATTGTTATTATCACCACATGCATTATGGTAGTAAATTTTGCATGTTTGTTTTTCAGCATCATTTTATGACCAAGTACACAAGTTTGTATCAAGCGCTGGTTGGGATCTCATCTTTGACTTGAACTCGTTACTACGGAAACCAGATGGTGTTTGGGATTCAACCAATGCTATAGAACTCATCAATTACACCGTCCAGTCAGGTTATAAGATGGGAGGCTGGGAGTTGGGCAATGGTTAGTTTAATATTTCTTTTATTAGTCCCCTACCGGTTTACCGGAGGGGACTTTAGGTTTACCCTCCGTCCGTCTGTCCGTCCGTCCGTCCGTCAGTCCGTCCGTCCACAAAACTGGATCCCACGATAACGCAAAAAGTACTGAAAATATTTTAATGAAACTTGATATATGCATAGATGGCAGTATGGAGATTATGCACGTCTTTTTCTTTTCTTCCTATGTTGAAAATTCTGGTTGCTATGGCAACAAATAGGCTGAAAATATGGCAAATTTTACACATAACCTGGATCCCGCGATAACGCAAAAAGTACTGAAAATATTTTTATGAAACTTGATATATGGATAGATGGCAGTATGGAGATTATGCACGTCTTTTTCTTTTCTTCCTGTGTTGAAAATTCTGGTTGCTATGGCAACAAATAGACTGAAAATATGGCAAATTTTACACATAACCTGGATCCAGTCATAACACAAAAAGTACTGAAAATATGTTTATGAAACTTGACATATGGGTAGATGGCAGTATGGAAATTATGCACATCCTTTTTTTATCTTCCTATGTTGAAAATTCTGGTTGCTATGGCAACAAATAGGCTGAATTTCAAGATTTCTGATTCTAGTTTTTAAGTTTTTTCACTCTAAGTTCTTTATTTCTTAAGGTATTTTCTTCAAACTTTAAATATAAGTTGCTTGTCATCAACCACATCATATGTGACAAGGTTTACAACTCTAGCACAAAATTTATCAGAATTACCTCCCTTGAACTTAAAATTTTCATGAAAAAAACATTGTTTTTTTTAATAACTTCTTTTTCTGAATGTATCTACTTCAAACTTCGTATAAATGTTTGTTATTGTCACTCAACATTTGTGAGTGTTCAATACTCTAGCAAGGCTATTTCCAGAATTATGCCCCTTTTGAACTTAGACTTTTTTTTTTTGAGAAATTGGTAATTTTTACTCCAACTTCTTCAATCATGATAGGATTTTAAAAAATGTTATATTTTGATAACAGGGATGTTTAAAAAATAACTTTAGAGTGTCCTTCAGTCCGTCTGTCTGTACATAAAAACTGTTTCCTGTGATCACTTTTAAAGAACTTTTTCAACAAATTTACTTAAAATAGGAACATAAGTGAATGGCCAATGGCCCTTCAGAATTTTGCTTGGGCTCTTACCGGTAGGGGACTTATGGATTGCTTGCAATACTATGATAATTGCTTGTTGTAATAGAGTTATCTCCCTTGAGTCTCCTAAAGCCATAAACCTGCTAAATTTCATAAATGGACTTGTCCAGCTTCCATTTTCGGACCTGTCCATTATCAATTTTGGGGATACAAAGGGTTATTTCCCAGACAATAGTCTGCGGCCAATATGTTAAAAATGAAGAAATTGCAGCCTATTGTCTGAAAAATAGAGTAGTTAACTTTGGTTAGACAACAATCTAGAGCTTGGTAAAACTATACAGATGTGTAGATTGACCTGGCTGTACACTAGTGGCAGAGGCTAAATCACTTTACAGCAGGAAAAGGGATAATTCACTTTACTTTGATTTCTTTAAAGTTTAAAAAAATGAACTCTGTACTGTATGTTATGAATATTATGCTAGCAGTCGGGAAACCTGTAGCAAACTGGTGCTGGGTGGTTATTTGTTATCACTGAATTATTTTCTGCTAACCATCAAGATGGTAATAATCAGATTTCCTGCATCGTAATGAGGCACTTGAACGATTAAATGCTAAAAACTCGCATTTTTACCCGCTAAAATGCAATTAAAGAGATCTAATTCTTCTCTTCACACCTATTTTATATAGGATAATGAATGAAAAATAAAAAAAAAAGTCAACGAAAAAAAGTGATATTTTTCTACTTTCTGATCATGATTTCTGAAAGCCTCTAGAGGTACTGCTCCAACACTGTAGTGAGTTAAGACCTTATTTAGAATGAGGTAGAAATAGATTGATGGTCTGCTTCTTTTTCCAAAATTCTCATAGAACCAGACGAGTATACAGGTGCGGTGATAAAACATAAACTTGTTCCTCCAGAGCAACTGGCGAAAGACTATGCTCATCTACGGGAACTCGTTAGACGTCACCCTTCCTTTCGCAATTGTGTGTTAATGGGCCCTGCCCTAGCTTCTATGACTGATTACATAAAAAAAGGATTTTTCTACAGGTTAAATGTTGTGATAGATGATTCATAGATATACATATATATAGACAGCAAATCTCTGAAATTAAAGGGACTCCACTGAGGATTTTTGACATAAAGGGACTGGTGATAATTTTTAATGATAAATGTACCATTTGATGTACATGTAGTTCTAGACCATGAACTTGTGTGCAAAATTATTCTTTTTCTCCGTTTTTCCTTAATAAGTATTATAATTGCAAAAAATGATCAAAAATCGCTTTTAACTCATCTCGGGCTAAAAATAGCACAAAAAATATGCTTTTCAATTTATTTTGAGTATATTTCTTACTTATCCTTTGCATATCTTTCTGTTTTAAATGCCCTAGTTGATCTATATATAGAAATTCAAATTTGATGTTTTTAGGCTTTCATACCTCAGGGGAGTTCCTTTAATGCTTTGATTAACAGACACAATTTTTATTGCAGAAAGTTTAGTTGTATCAATAGTTAAATTTCTAAACCTTTACATTTGAATTTGTATAATGTCCATCTTTCCATTTGCTTTGAATATCAAAATACATGTACAAAATTTGAGCTAGCAACAGTATAGAGCCAGTTCAGGGTGTATGAATGTGCAATATGGTCTGGCTCTAAACTGGTGGCAAAGGCTTATCACTTTTGTTTTCCAATAGGTTAAATATAGCACTTATTTATTAGTATAGTTTGCTTAGTTAGAAAAAGTATATAATATAAAACTAAAAAGCCTTGAAAAGTTGGTACCTAGGTCAAATATTTTTTGAGCTTTGTACAACACAAGTGGAAAATTGGAAATTTTTACTAAGTCAAGGGTAATAACTCTGACAAAACAGAATAAATCCACAAGCGAAACCCCAGGTGCACAACTTCACATGCTAAGCAATATTCCTATTAAGTTTCATGACTCTAGGTCAAATACTTTTTGAGCTATGTGTGATGCAAAATGAGAGTGGATGGATGGACAGACTGACAGACAGACAAGGGTAAATCTAATTACTCCCCCCCCCCCCCTTTAGTTGGGGCACAAAAATTGATTGATAATTGAGAAACTCACTTATAAGTGTTTAATTGTTAATTTGTTTTATTGTAAGAATTTTTTAAGAACTTTCTTAAGGCTTATGTTAGTTTGATGTCATCAACTATAGCTTTGAATGTGGTAATTTTATGATATTTTTTCACATCTCTGTACTCCTGTCATATATCTCTGAAATTGCCTTTACCATTTTTGTTTCTATTATATATATATGTAGGGAACACTTCTCTGCCGTCTGTCTGTCCGTTCGTAAAAACACATCTGTCGATCCATCACAAAATTTGTCCGGACTACTCCTCAAAAACTACTGGTGCAATTTCATCCAAATTATACAGGAAATGTCAATATCAAGACTAGTTTTGCATATTATCAGCATTTTCGGTTCAATGATTTTTGTCAGAGTAATGGCCCTTTGATGATTTTTTAAAAAAATTTGTCTGAACTACTCCTCTTATAACACCTATTCATTTTCAATGAAACCTTACAGGATTGATTGGTTTTGCCCTGTTATTGAATTTTGTGTCTCCTGCTACACAGTAGCTGCAACATGCAATTGGCTATCATAAGGCGACACATGTGATCACTTATTGCTCTTGTTACCATTGAACTAACACTTTCTTTAAATATATGAGAGAGCAGTAGAAATTGTGTTTCTGGTCAAAGTTACATATGACATTGGTACAAAACAAAATTTGAGCCACGCCATGACAAAACCAACACAATGCGTTTTGGACCAGCATGGATCCAGACCAGTCTACGCATCCGTGCAGTCTGATCAGGATCCATGCTGTTCGCTTGCAAACCGTATAACAAGTAGAGAAACTGATAGTGAACAGCATGGACCCATGCAGTCTATTCTGGATCCATGCTGGTCGTAAACGCATTATGTTGGTTTTGTCATGGCGCGGCTCATTCCTTTTTATTTTTCAATTAATTGAATACAGTATTGATAATGCTTCTCTTTTTTTTTCTACAATTTCTCATAGAACCGGACGAGTATACAAATTATATCATAAAACATAAACTTGTACCTCCGGAGCAACTGGCGAAAGACTTTGCTCATCTCAAAGAAATAGTAAGAAGTCACCCTTCCTTCCGCAATTGTGTGATAATGGGTCCCTCCATAGCAGCCATGAGTGTTTATTGGAGAAAAGGATTTTTCTACAGGTTATTTTTGTGTGAATGCCTAGTCAAAAATTGACAAAATCTCTAGTACACAGAAAACATTTCTCTTCATTCTGAGATAAACAGAGTTGGACTAAATTCATTTTGTAGAATTTTAAAATTATTTTAAAAGCTTGAATAATAATGTGCTCCTTTTACTTGTATTGTATTTTGTCACCTTAGTGCAGTTATGGATTAAAGCTAGTTATATTATATGAGCCGCGTCACAACAAAAGCAACATAATGGGTTTGCGACCAGCATGAATCCAGACCAGCCTGCGCATCAGCGCAGTCTGATCAGGATCCATGCTGTTCGCTATCAGTTTCTCTACTTGTTATTGGATTTGTTAGCGAACAGCATGGATCCTGATCAGACTGCGCGGATCCATGCTGGTCGCAAACCCATTATGTTGGTTTTGTCGTGACGCGGCTCAATTATATTATGTAAGAATTAACTTGTTGCTGCACTTTGTGACAATTTATTGTTATTCAGACATTGCAAAAAGACATAGAGGATATTCAAGTTTTTTCTATAAATACATGTTATATTTTCATCGAGTGGTATGAAAATAAATATTTCATGAGTGGCAGTAGCCACGAGTGAAATATGGTAATTTTCAAGCCACAAGATGAAAATAAATCATGTATTTATAGAAAAAACTTGAATTTTCTGTTTATTATATACATTTTTCTCTTTTTTGAAATTAAAATTTAAAAGACTTTCCCTTAAATTTTGTGTACTGGCAGAATTAAAAAGAAAGTAGTCCGGCAAGACACCAAAGAAAAAACGGAAAATATGTTTCACTGCAGTGAAAAATAAATTTTTACAGTGAAAATACGGAAAATGAAAATACACATTTTATTTCATCAATATTTCTCAATATTTCATTTTAAGTATATAATAAAACAAATTATGTGGGCATTTGAAACTCTGTTTATCAGATTTTTGAGATTTTGATCATAAAGAAATTAATATTTTTTGAGAAAAAGCCTTGAAAATTGCATTTTTTTCTTGATATTTCACTTCTGGCAATTTATTTTTAAACATTTAAGTCAGACATTGACTCAGTGATGCTAGACCTATGTAACATACAGATTATTTTAAAGAAACTTGATTACATACATGTTTAAAAAAAATTGATAAACTTTTAAAATGAAAGAAGTACTTTTTAAGGCTTTTTATACTTCATTGGGAATGACTATATAGAAATGCTTATTTTGAATGTTGTATATTATATATTATACATATCTAGATCATGCTCTATACACCAGAAACACTAACAATCCCTTTATTATCATTATCACCTCACTAACTTTCCTACAATAATAAATTAAAAATAAACTGAATTATACAGCAAGAACTGACATGATTACAGGCTGTATGTGTAAATTATGGTCTTTTTTTCTGTCATGATGCCTCTTAATACAGTTATTTGAGCCGCGCCATGACAAAACAACATAATGGGTTTGTGACCAGCATGGATCCAGACAAGCCTGCGCATCGGCGCAGTCTGATCAGGATCCATGCTGTTCGCTTACAAACCTTATAACAAGTAAAGAAACTGATAGCAAACCGCATGGATCCTGATCAGACTGCGCGGATGCTGGTCTGGATCCATGCTGGTCGCAAACCCATTATCTTGGTTTTGTCATGGCGCGGCTCATTTATCTTAATTCGAAGGTAAAATACTAGTCTTTATTGACAGGTGTTCTATATTTGGACTTCAACTATCTATGATCTCTTTCCACTGCTGTCACTGAGTGTTTGAAGTATAAAGTTGAACCATGATAAATATGATTAGTGTTTTGTCTTTGGAATGAATTTTAATCGAAGGTTTTTATATTGTCATGATCCTTTTGGTCAATTTGTTAATCTTTTGGTTTTATTTGTTCTCTTGGTTTAGTGAGTTGGTGTGAAATATATATGGTTTGGTCTTTAAACAATTCCTTCTAATTGGTTGTTTTGTGAATTAAGGGTTATATTTTAGAACTATAGGGATGGGTATAGGGTTGCTTGAACTGAAGAGTCTTTGCTAATGCAGGTGAGGGTTGAATCCTTTCATTTGCATGAGATTGGGTTTTTTTTAAGTGTTAAAATTTTAAAGGGAGTTTTTTTATTATGTTTTCAGAACCAAATGCATATCATCATAAAGTAGGGAGGCGGGTTGAAGCTACACAACTAGCCAAGGACTATTTAACTTTAGACAATCTGTTGGGAGGTTACTCACAGTTTGAAAATACTGAATTATTGGGGCCATCAGTCACACAGTTAAATAAGAAGCGGACAGATGAGTATTTTGAAAGGTGATTTTGATTTTATTGGCAGTATAAGGGCAAAATATGTGGTTTTAGGCGTAACTCTTGGTCAAAGGTATATTAAACTACATTAAAATTTTGGAGTAGAAATAAGATAATCCAAATTTTCGACGTTGAAAAGCTCTGTAAAGCTTAATGCTAAGCGTCATAGTTTCTAAACTTTCTGTGGAAAGCAGACAGTCCTTGTTGTGTTTGAGCTTAAAGGTTAAAGGTCATGATCTGACACTGAGGTTGAGACTTAACTTTATTATTTCTAATGGTGGAACTGGTCAAAATGCTTTTATGTTTCAATAAAATGGCAATATACCTTGATTTGAATACCCCCACCCCAGCCTTATGTGCCTGTTGAATTAAAAGGTAAAGGTCACTTTAACTAAGGTTCAAATGTTGTTGTTTAAAATTTGACCTCTTTTGATGTTTGGTTATTTGGTCAAGGTCACAAAGTATTGCTATCTTACATAAATAAAAAAAAAGAAAAAAGAACAAAACAAAAAAACAACACAAAAACCTGGAAATAGTCTATTGACAAATTTTTATGCCCCCGCCATATAATGGCAGGGGCATATAGTGTTACCCTGTTCCGTCATTCCGTCATTCCGTCATTCCGTCCTTCCGTCATCATCAGTTTCCGTTCATTATCTTTATAACCCTTGCACATATTGAACTCAAATTTGACATATGGATATGTCATGAGAAAATACAGGTCAAGTTCGAAATTGGTCATGGTTCGATGATTTTTGGCAGAGTTATGCCCCTTTTACATTGAAAATAATATGAAATTTTCAGTTTCCGTTCATTATCTCCCAAACGGTTCAAAACATTCAATTCAAAATTGACATATGGATATGTCATGAGAAAATACAGGTCAAGTTCGAAATTGGTCATGGTTCGATGATTTTTGGCAGAGTTATGCCCCTTTTACATTGAAAATAATATGAAATTTTCAGTTTCCGTTCATTATCTCCAAAAACGGTTCAAAACATTCAATTCAAAATTGACATATTGATATGTCATGAGAAAATACAGGTCAAGTTCGAAATTGGTCGTGGTTCGATGATTTTTGGCAGAGTTATGCCCCTTTTACTTTGAAAATAATATGAAATTTTCAGTTTCTGTTCATTATCTCCCAACGGTACAACACATTCAACTCAAACTTGACATATTGATATGTCATGAGAAAATACAGGTCAAGTTCGAATTTGGTCATGGCTCGATGATTTTTGGCAGAGTTATGCCCCTTTTACTTTGAAAATAATATGAAATCATTATCTCCCCAACGGTACAACAGATTCAACTCAAACTTGACATATCGATACGTCAAAGGAATGCGCAGGTCAAGTTTAAATTTGGTCATGGTTCAATGATTTTTTGCAGAGTTATGCCCTTTCACTTTGAAAATAATATGAAATTTTCAGTTTCCGTTCATTATCTCCCCAAGCGTACAACACATTTAGCTCAAACTTGACATATCGATACGTCAAAGGAATGCGCAGGTCAAGTTCAAATTTGGTCATGGTTCGATGATTTTAGGCAGAGTTATGCCCCTTTTACTTTGAAAATAATATGAAATTTTCAGTTTCTGTTTATTATCTCCCCAACAGTATTAAACATTCAACTCAATTTGACATATTGATACGTCAAAGGAATGCGCAGGTCAATTTCAAATTTGGTCATGGTTCGATGATTTTTGGCAGAGTTATGCCCCTTTCACTTTAAAAATAATATGAAATTTTCAGTTTCCGTTTTATTATCTCCCCAACAATATTACACATTCAACTCAAATTTGACATATGGATATGTTTTTGGAATGCGCAGACCAAGTTCGAATCTGGTCATGGTTCAATGATTTTTGGCAGAGTAATGCCCCTTTCACTTTGAAAATGATATGAAATTTACAGTTTTTTGTTCATTATCAACCCAACAGTGTTACATATTCAACTCAAAATTGACATATGGATATGTCAAAGGAATGCGCAGGTCAAGTTGGAATTTGGTCATGGTTCGATGATTTTTTGGCAGAGTTATGTCCCTTTCACTTTGAAAATAATATAGATACATCTTAGGAATAAGCAGTTTAAGTTTGAATTTGGTCGTGGTTCAATGATTTTAGACAAACTTATCTTTCCTGAATGTTGAACTTTCAGTTTCAGCACTCATACTTTTGTGGAAATGTATATAGCCATTATGTTGGCTACAAATATGCAATATGCTGTTTTTAAAAGGTTAAGACTGAATAATTTCAGTGCCTTGAACATTGTATAAAAATGGTTTGTGTTAACATTGAAAAGTTTTAAGGGCTTTGAACTAAGAATGAAAAAAATAATTTGTGCAAACAAATTTGGAACTAAATATTATAACATTTGAAATTTTGGCTGCATGCGGGGGCATCCGTGGCATGATGACACATTTCTAGTTTATATTAGATTTTTAAATCATTTGCGATGGTGATGGAATTGGTTAGGTTTATACATGTAGAAGCTTCTGATGGATTTATTACTATAAATAGATATTTATATTGTTCAGTTTTTGTGGTATTTTAGTTTTAGTTGCGCACCATGTATCTATGTAGTCTTTTGCTTAGTTTGCTTTTATAAAGCTTTTAAAATTCAGTTTATGCTTTATGCATGTAATGTTTTATACATTTATTGTATATATTAATTATTAAAGTGTAAGTTTGATTGATTTATTTAAAAATTATGACACAAATGTGAAATAATTATAATAAATAAACATTTTCTGTATAGATATTGAAATTGCTTTATATACAGTCAAACGTGTATTAAGCGACCGTGCAAGGGAAACACCCAAAACGGTCACTTAATGAAACGGTCTCTTAAGACAGTCAGCATGATATAAAAGTCAAAATTTATAAATGACATCTTTCTTATGAAGTGGGAATGTTTTTCAACTTCATTTTTATATGAATGTTGAATAATTAGTACGCTACAATAATCTAAATGGATGCAAATGTAAAAATAACTTTCTGATATTTATTGACAAATTACGTACATGTTTGACATTTTTTCCAGAGTCTTTTACTCCTCCGTTGTTTTTCCTTGTCTCCAACACGAAAACCCTTTTAGTAAAGATGTTTTCTGTTGTGCATTTTTGTGCCCCCACGTTAGTGGCGGGCATTTAGATTTACCCTTGTCCGTCCTTCCGTCTGTTCACTTTTGTGTCGCACGTAACTCAAAAAGTATTTGACCTAGATTCATGAAACTTTACAGGAATGTTGATCAGCATGTATAGTTGTGCTCCTGGGTATTTTCGTGTGGATATTTTTAGTATTTTAAGAGTTATTGCCCTTGACTTAGTAAAATTTTGCAATTTTCAACTTGTGTCGCATGTAACTCAAAAAGTATTTGACCTAGAGTCATGAAACTTTACAGGAATGTTGATCAGCATGTGTAGTTGTGCACCTGGGTATTTTCGTCTGGATATTTTTAGTATTTTCAGAGTTATTGCCCTTGACTTAGTAAAATTTGGCAATTTTCAACTTGTGTCGCATGTTACTCAAAAAGCATTTGACCTAGAGTCATGAAACTTTACAGGAATGTTGATCAGCATGTGTAGTTGTGCACCTGGGTATTTTCGTGTGGATATTTTTAGTATTTTTAGAGTTATTGCCCTTGACTTAGTAAAATTTTGCAATTTTCAACTTGTGTCGCACGTAACTCAAAAAGTATTTGACCTAGAGTCATGAAACTTTCTAGGAATGTTGATCAGCATGTGCAGTTGTGCACCTGGGTATTTTCGTGTGGAAAATTTTTGTATTTTTAGAGTTATTGCCCTTGACTTAGTAAAATTTTGCAATTTTCAACATGTGTCACACGTAACTAAAAAAGTATTTGACCTAGAGTCATGTTACTTTACAGGAATATTGATCAGCATGTGCAATTGTGCACCAGGTATTTTCGTCTGGATTTATTTAGTATTTTTAGAGTTATTGCCCTTCACTTAGAAATTTTTTGCAATTTTCAACTTGTGTCGCAAGTTACTCAAAAAGGATTTGACATAGTCATTAAACCTTATGGGCAGGTTGCTCATTATATTTAGATTTGCACCTGGGGTTTTGCTTGTGAATTTATCAAGTATTTGTAGAGTTATTTCCCTTGACTTAGTGAAAAGATTGACAGAACAGTGGCGCGGTGGGGGCACCCGTGTCCTATGGACACATTTCTAGTTTCATTTGAAATAAACAAACTACATCTAATTGTTACGATTAATTTAATTGCTGATCAAGTTCAAGGTCAATTCAATGCAGTCTAAATGTCAACAAGCGAAGCGTATACACCATCTCAGTAGGGGCGGAGCGTTGCATTGTTTATCAGATATTATTGGATAATACATGTCACGGGTATACTTAAGTTCATTTGCATACGCTAAAACGGTTTGGGAAATAGAGTTTTTCACACGTGTATTTGTTGTGTTTTGATTGTTGACACTTGTGACATTACGAGGTGGCGTTCTCTAAAACACAATTACTTGACGGGTAAAAGTGGTCGTTTAATGAAAAGATTGATCTCAATTAGGTGACTAATTAGCGGTCGCTGGTCGCGTTGAGCAAAAGTCGCTTAATACATTAAAGATATAGAGAGAAAATGATCGGGGGGAATTTAAAGTGGTCGTTTAAGACAAAAGTCGCTTAATACACGTGGTCGCATGGGCAAGTTAGACTGTAAATAATGACACCAATATCTGAGATAGCTTCAGTGCCTAAACATTAATTCACAAAATAGATAATTTTGACAGTACACTGTGCATGCACTTTTGTCACAGTTATGTACAGGGTACTGCCAAAATTATGTTATGTCTATGCAAAAGGTGATTAAAACTAAAGTATTGTTCCCAATTAATGGCAAGCTAGTCTGTGATATTAATTTTGCATATGTCTTGTTAAATGTCAGATGAAGATTAATAAACTCTGGTTTATCAAACATTTTCGTACATGTTCTAGGCTCTCTTTATTGTACTATTTGGTCATGTGACATTTACTGTCTATTTTTAGCTTCATGAGTGCTGGGGGAGGGGATGCAGTGACAGCAGCAACATTTCATCAGTAAGTAACACACCCCTATTTTTATATGATAGATAGTTCTTTATCACCCTTTTTAAGGAAAGAGTATATTTGAGCTGCGTCATGACAAAACCAACAAAATGGGTTTGTGACCAGCATGGATCCAGACCAGGCTGCGCATCTGTGCAGTCTGATCAGGATCCATGCTGTTTGCTATCAATTTCTTTACTTGTTATAGGGTTTGTAAGCGAACAGCATGGATCCTGATCAGACTGCGCAGATTCGCAGGCTGGTCTGGATCCATGCTGGTTGCAAACGCATTATGTTGGTTTTGTTGTGACACGGCTCGTTTATTTTTATTTGTAGTTTCATGAAGTATTTATAGATAAAGATGAAAACCACCTATTCTTATAATGGGACCTTCTTTTACATTATTTTCAAGGAACATGTATATAGTTTATAGAAACAGGTGTTTCCAGAAATATTTTATGATGATAATAGCTTTAATTTCACCCTATTTATTTACATCTTGTTACACAGGGAATGCAATGTAATTATGTGCAGATTTATAAGCACTTGCCTTTTACATTGCACCACTGTTATAAAAATCATTATGTGACACCAGACTACTTGTTTATACCCCCACCAAACATAGTTTGTGTGTGTGGAGGGAGTGGGGATGTGCTATATAGGAATCACCAAATTTTTATGCTTCAAAGATTAGGGGGTACTTTGTTCTGTGGACATATCTCGATTTACATCAAGGTTTTAAATGTTCATTATTTGGCACAAGGCACTAGATTTTTACAACCATGTTCTTAATGTAGCAAAAGGTTTTTAACATGTATTATGTAGCATCCAGTCACAGTAATTGGTGATAATTGCTCACTTCAGAGCAGTGCACCTTGTTTTATGAGCTGTGTTTGTTAGACCAGGACTGGAGGTTATTAAACTTTTTTTTCGAGTCTCTAATCTCAGGATTTTCATTGGTCAGTATGCCTTTTGTGGCAGTTTCTGACCAATCAGATACGTGAGATCTGAGTTTAAGCTCATAGAATTTCTTTATAACCTTGGAACCAGGTTTTCATTGAACACATTGTGTCACCAGGTATTCTGTATTCTGATTCTTTCAGGTATTATGAAGATGGGGCAATAGCTAAATTGGAAGATTTCTACAACCCTGATGTCCTCAATATCCTATATGGAGAGATTCAAACTGGGGTGAACCTGACTAGGGCAGCTGGCTCTACTGCCAATGTGTGGCTAGGGGAAACTAGCTCAGCATGGAGGGGTGGTGCCAAAGGGCTGTCAGACAGATATGTAGCTGCATTTATGTAAGTCATCTTGGTTTAAAGAATTTCTTTATCATTTGAATTTTCTTAACTGTCTATTGTGTGCTTTCTAACCTTTACTTTGGTCACTGAAAACAAGGCTAAATAAATATTAAGATTAAATCAGATTATGATTTCTATTGGAACATCATGTGGTCCAAATGCTGAAAGTTCATTGGTTGTATTTCATAAGGTGTAAAATGATTAATACTATCAACATGACTATCTGTTGTGAAATGGATCTTCCATCACTGACCAATTCACCTTAATTGATAAAGGATCCATATACATATAACCATGTTTCAATCGTTCTGTTCCTTTCATCACTGTGACATTGTTGATACGAAAGATTCTTTATATAGCAATTATTGTGTGACAATTGTCGTTTTTTAATCCTTACCCAGTGATTTTTTTTTTAAATTTTCAAAACAACCTGTGGCTTTCTGAAGGCGAAAATACAGCGCGATAAATCAGAAACAGGGAAGTCAAATTCCAACAATGAGCATGGAATATACCCTCACATTTTATAAAATATTCAATTTTGATTCAATTAAACATGCAGAGGCTATTTATAGGGACATCTTTTTGTCTTTCTAGCTGATATAAGTCAGCTGCTGGTAAGGAATGTGCATGGCATTATAGGGGAAAATATTAGCATTTTTAAGGGGAAAATATACATATTTTGCACAGGGGAAATAGCCTTTATTTGGCTGTAAAGAAAAGGGAAAAACATCTCTGTTACCTAATTAGTTTTGAAAGAAATGCTTTTTTATTTCACTAAGAAAAGCATTTTAATGTTTTCTACTCCAATGGGAGGTGATTTTGAATTTTATGTCTTTAAGTTTAAACAGTTGTTTGTTTAATCCAGATATTGAAAGTAGCTTGAGAAATTGATAAGAAATTTTTATGGATTCTTTGAGTATTATATGATTACTCTCAATTGTGAGTGACCTCATTCAGGGTATAATTAACTGTAGAAATTACTCGTCATTTGTTACAATACAATGTTTATTTAAAATTAAATTAGAATTTAAATTTTTTTTTTTTTTCGAATATTCGTATTCGTTTTTCAATGTGCGAATATTTGGTAGTGTTTTGAATATTCCAATATAATTCCCAGCCCTATTAATTTTGTTTATTTAGGTGGTTGGACAAGTTAGGGATGTCAGCAAGGGACGGTATAAATGCTCTCATCAGACAGACATTCTATGGAGGCAATTACTCACTACTAGACCATGAAACATGCGATCCTCATCCTGTAAGTATATTTGAGCCGTGTCACGACAAAACCAACATTTCCGCGCAGTCTGATCAGAATCCATGCTGTTCGCTATCAGTTTTGCTACTTGTAATAGGGTTTGTAAGCGAACAGCATGGATCCTGAACAGACTGCGCGGATGCGCAGGCTTGTCTGGATCCTAGCTGGTCGCAAACGCATTGCGTTGGTTTTGTCGTGACACGGCTCATATATAAACACTTTTATAATAATGCGAATAAATTTCTTGAATTTGATTGGCTTAAATACTGTATAAGTGGTTAATTTTATGACTTGGAAATATTTGCGATTTTTGCGAATTGAATTTATTTGTAAATATTTAATGATGCAAAAATTATCTCTTTTTAGGCAAACTTTCTTCTATCATTTAAAACCCGTTTACATACAGCATCTTACATGAATAAGTTTGACTGTTCAGGTACTGAGATTATTTTTTCTCATATACTTGTTTGTTTAAGTTTGGTCTTAACAAATCACAAATGATTTAATGTAACAATATATGTGTTAATAACACAAAAAGTTATTCATATAACAAAATAATGTTTCAAAATATGACAAAGAAATGTGTGATCAGGTCCTTTATCAAACTTACAATGTATATTTCAAACAATTATATAATTAATAATAAGGGTATTAAACAACTGAATAGAACAATTACAATCACGGCATATTCTTAACATGTACCTGCTTCATATTTTTCGCAAATATTTCCGCAAGCAAAATCTCCTCTTTTTGACATTCACAAAATTTTTGTAACGCACAAATATCCATTTATACATTACCTTGTATATGATGCCATATACACCTTGAAGAACTGAAGCAAGCACAAATAAACAACATTTTCTACATCCTGGACAGTTAGCTGTGTGTCTGCATAAAGTTTATTTCTCAATTTAGATATCATTACTTCAAAAAAATAAAAATGTAGAGTTGTCAAAGATAAACAATGTGAGAGAAATATTCATTTACCATAAGAGCTATTGATCTCATACCTGTCTCCAAAATGAGGGGAAAAAAAAGAGGTGTACTTCAAGTTACAGAAGTTGTTGTCAGAGTATACTGTTATGATCATATTTGATGGAGAAACTAGTCATTGCATGTAGATAAACTTTATTGATAATGAGGTCAGTAGGTCATTAGGTCAAAGGTTAATTTAATGTGACCTTCATAACAAAATCTGGTGGAGGGTTTAATATTTGACTTGTGTGGTTGCTAAAACATGACTTATTATGTGCTGTTTGGGGATATGTACATGTTTCACAAACTTGTTGGTATATTTTTCAAAAGTTTTATCTATTATAGATTCTTTGTCATCTTAATGTTGTTTTTTTTTGCAAACTAGGACTATTGGTTGACCCTGTTGTATAAACTTCTTGTTGGTAACAAAGTGTTGAGAGTGACTTCCCCTGACAGTAGAGGGAAAATTAGAGCATATGCTCACTGTACACAAACTACAAAGTAAGTAAATACATATATTTTCAGAGGTTGGTGACAAGTCCATTGAAAAGTTAAAATTAAAATTGAAAAGTTATTTCAAAATTAATATTTATTGTTAATTGGTCTCGTTGCATCAAACAAGAAGTCAAGTTGAAGGCCTATTATACCTCAGAAATGCTATCAGTTTTATTTCCAAAAAGCTTTTTATTTTTGTTTCCAAGAGATTACCTATTAGCTATATTCATAATCTATCTTCTGCTACTTTTTTCTCTGTTAGCAATCGTTATAATTATAGTGAATCAGCATTTTGTATGGAAGTCAAAATACTAAGTGTTTACATTTTGCTACAGTTACAACACATAACTACATGTATATGTTCAGGGCTACCTTTTTCAATTGTTAAACATCTAACATACTTCAAGTCCATTATTAAAATCTTTAAACACATGTTTGATTATTGTAAAGAATTTTCAAAAGTATGAATTTCTGAGGCATAATGTGCCTTAAACACCCCAGTTACACAGAGCCATCGGTGATTGATTGGTAGTTTTTTTAGCCAAATTATGGAGTGGACATATTTAACACCGATATTACCTATTGGTCACCTGTTTTCCACCCATCAACTGCTATTGGGGAAAGATAAGTTTTATCTGTGAAAAATTACAGATTGGGATTTTAAAACATGTTTAAAATTCTTGATCAGTGAAAATATTTTACAAATAACCGACAGCAACCTATATCACAAGATATGCAAACTCTTAATCACCGATATCGCCGATCAGACAAAGATAACCAAATATGAATCACCGGCTATATCTGACGGAAAATGTTTAACCACCTGATGACTAGCTATCAAAACACGATTTAATCAGCGTTACGCCTGAATTTAGCTCCATTTACAAAACGATAAAAACAATAGTATTTCAGCATTTTATCACTGATCCAACCCCGTTTTGACTTTGCTTTCTGTCACCGAGGATGGCCGTTTACACAGAAAGCCAGAAATAAAATCACGCATGACAACCGTTCATAACAGAGAGTAAACTTAAAATTAAATGGCCGATTGGGGAACGACCAACTGTGTAACTGGCCCCTAATAGCTCTGCCAGAATTACAGTTCAAACTTACTAGTACTAAATTTTTTTGTAAATCTTAACAACAGTCAATTAAACTTGTTATATTTTATTGTAACTTTTTTTTATCCTTTGTTTGAAACTTCTTATATGCCCAAAATGAAGAATGGGGGGGGGCCAGTTGGGAGGTGGGGGCGTTTTTGGCCCTATATGTGTCATTATCTTATATTACCAAGGGAAGTATGAAAGGTTGAACCCAAAAATTTTTGATTTTGATTAAAGCCTTATATCTTTTACCAATCAAACAATTTCTCACCTCTTAAAGACTTTTTGGGGGGAAAATGTGAAATTTGGGACCCAAAAATATTAATTATATTTCAATTTTAAATTTAAAACCATTTCAAATTTTAGAAAAATGATACAACCATCCCCTAATAAAAAACTAAAGTTTTATCACTTAAGTTTTGGGCCTTGTTTCATTATGAAAAAACTTTTATCCAAGTTTTGTTTTTTGTACAAAAACTGGTTAGGTAATTTCCCCAAAAATTTTTCCCTCTCTTTTTTAGGTCAGGGTTACCCCGTGGTAGTGTAAACATTTTTAGGGTTTAGAACTTAGCCCAGTTTTCCAGTTATTTAAAAGATCTCCCAAAGACTTTGCTAAAAAACACACAGGGGGCATGTTTAAATTTTCCCTCCCAGGAGGAAATAGTATATTATCTAAGTAAGTAAGGCTTTGATATTTTTGTTCTATTCTTTAAATATTCAAACAAAATCAAGAAAAATGCCTTTGTATTTTAGGGATAAAAGGCATTCTTCAAGGAAAGGAGAATATAGATTTTATTCTGGGGTTTAGTATATAAAAGAACAACATAATTATTGTTGTTGTTGTTGTAGCTTCATTGTCAGGGAGAGGGAGAAAGCCTTTCTGTCTTAATCTTTAAATACAATGTTTGGTATCATAAAAAAATTCAAGTTTGGTTGCATAAAAATTGAAGAGGAAAGATTTATAGCTTAAGAATAATAATGGAGTATTTATGAATGAGAAGAATTTCTTTGAAGTTTTTTACCTTGCTTCATAGTTTATATGTCCATTTGTTATCATAGTGTGTACCATTAACATGGAAACAGTATAAGATATATGTGTGACTTTCATTTGAGAATCATTCAGGTTCATAATTTATTTGTTAAACTCTTGTTATTGTTAGACCTTTTAATACTGGTCCTGTTGTATAGATTAGTTCTTCTTTAAATTACAGATTTCATGATATTTCTAGTTTTGATCCCTTTGTTTATCTCTTTTTTTTCTGTATCAGGTGATTTACATGTATGTCAAATCATGTGCTATATTTACATTATATATTTTGTTTGTCCAGAAGGGTAAAATGGAAGAAGTGAATTGTAACATTTCTTCATAATCAGTTACATGTACCTATTATTTCACATTTCTGTTTTAGGCATGTAAAACTTAATGGAGAGAAGCTACAAATGGTTGATGATAAAACATTGCCAAATTTACTACGTCCTGTGAAAACCACGTCTCAAGTTTCCATTCCAGCCATGTCATATAGTTTCATTGTCTTACCAGATGCTCAGCTACCTGTGTGCATGTAAACAGTGAACCAACCTCCTGATACTTGTAAATGTTGACTTCTCAAATTGCTAGAGGTGATATTGACTGGACAATGTCCCATTATAAATATTAACTTGTCTATGTCAATATTATAGAAAACTTGACTTCTTTTATCTCACCCATATAAAATTTTTGACTTGGGCCCATATCAAAACCCGTAAAAAATATTGACTTTATCTAAAATTTACCAGTATAGGGGTATTTTATTTGGGCTATTTCACCAAAGGGCTGAATTACCTTGTGTATGTGAAATAAATTTTTTAACTGGGGCTATTTTTACATTTTTTTACCTCTTCACCAAATTTAAAAATTATTTTACTTGTCTTTTTGTACCCCGATGTCACCAGTTTTTGGGAAACCAAAAATCAGCTTGCAATTTTTACCAATTTTTTTATTTTTTTCGAGAAAGGGGATTTCCAAAAATTTTTAAATTTGGGGGAAGTGACTTACAACATTATCCCCAAAAGGGAACCCTTTTTTTTCTTGGGGGACCTTTTGGGGAAAATTTGGGGCAATCCCAGCATTTTAATTGGGGGGTTTGATCATTGTTCGCTCTAGTAGCATCATCAGAAAGTATTCATAATACAATGTAGCAGAGGACATAAAGTCTGGTTGACAGACTGCAAGAATTTGAAGGCTTGTGTGACTAAATATTGTTATATTATCTTGCTATAAAATATCTGTAACATCTTCCTTATTTAACACAAAGTCCTTAATCTTTAATATGTGCTATGACCTATTGGAAAATACAGTAATACATTTGTTTGTTGTCAAAATATGTCTAATTAAAGTAGAAATCTCAGATGTGAAAATCTCAAATCAAAGATCTAATTTAATAAATTTGTTCATATATTTGCAAACAATAAGCATGAACAGTAGATTTTTGCACAGGAAACCAATTGTTGTCTTTTCCGTTAATGGGAATTATTTGACATTGTTATTCTCAATAAAAGTGCTTATCTTTCAAGTTACGCTATGTATAGAATATTTTCTTAACTCACCTGTGACATGGTGAGCTTTTGTGATCGCATTTTGTCAGGCGTCCGTCCGTCTGGCTGCCATAGACTTTTACTGTAAACGACATCTCAAAAACCGCTAAGCCAATTTCATCCAAACTTCACAGGAATGTTCCTTTGGTGGTCACCTTTAAAAATTGTTCAAGGAATTTAATTCCATGCAGAACTCTGGTTGCCATGGCAACCAAAAGAAAAAACTTTTGAAAAATCTTCTTTTAAAAAACCCAAAGAGCTAGAGCTTAAATATTTGGCATGAAACATCTTCAAGTGAGACTCTACCAAGTTTGTTAAAAAGAAACCAAAAGCCCTGGGATAAAAAAATGGCCCCGCCCCAGGGGATCACTGCTTTTCCATATATACAATGGTTTTACACATGCACTATTTCAGATACAAGTACGAACTTTGTGATATCTGTTTAAGATTTAGATTTTATATCTGCTTTTGTTTATAGTTTACACTATTACTTGTTCGTTGTCATAGAGAGTTTATATATACAGGTGAGCCATCATGGCCCTCTTGTTTATATTTTCGGAAGATTTTTTATTTTATCCGAATCATTTGATATTATCAAATCATGTGATCAACTCCTGCATCATAAAAGTCAATCCTTTTAAAATAAAATGAGGCCGCGTCACGACATAACCAGCATAGGTGCGTTGGGAACAGCAAGGGATCCAGACCATACTGGCGCAATCCGGGCAGTCTGATCAGGGACCCATACTGTTTTGCCTAATCAAAGTTTCTCTACTTTGTTTTATAAGGGTTTGTAAGTGAACAGCATGGATCCTGATCACACTGCACGGATGTGCAGGCTGGTCTGGATCCATGCTGGTTGCAAACCCATTATGTTGGTTTTATCATGGCATGGCTCATTAATGTCTATACAGCTCAACTTGAAAATTGAGCATCACATCACACTTAGAATTCAGGAATTAGCCCAGTTGTTTTACTTGCATTTAGAAGAATGTACTTGTTATTGCTTTTATGTATTTTAATATACTTCAAACTCGCCTTGTTAAGATTATTTCGTTGCCATTTATTTTACTGTTACATTTTAGTGCCACTGTAAGTGTCTAGTGCAATATATATGGGTTTGTATACTTGCTGTTCTAGTTATGATTATATTTGTTTTGTCTCATCTTAGTTATAAGAATACGTAAATATTAAAGGAACTCCATTGAGGTTTAAGAGTCTAAAAACATAACATTTGTATTTCTTACAAGAATGAGCTGGGGCACTTTAAACAGAAACATTATGCAAAGATAGTTAAAAAATATACTTTGAAATAAATTGAAAATCGTTTTTTTTATGATTTTCTTAGCCCGATTTGAGTGAAAATCGTTTTAAATGTTTTTCATTTTGGGTCATTTTTTTACAGTATGAATAATTATTCTGGAAAAACAAAGTGCGCAAATAATCTAAACTTTTGCACAAAGATTAGTGGTGTAAACCTACATCAAATGGTACATTTATCTGGAAAAAATATTTTCAGTCCCATCATGTCAAAAAACCTCAGTGGAGTCCCTTTAAATGTTGTAATGTTATTGTGAGCTGTCTGTCAGCAATAATATTTAAAATTGTTTGTATGGTAATAAGAATCGCACCAAAATATTTGATTTGAAAGAATGTTTGTGATTTTCTGTAAAACAGAGTGATGAATGCACAAATTCCAATGCTTGAAGTAGCATGTTTATATTGATTATAAAAAAATTCAATATTCCTTTAGTAGTAAAATGAAAGTGATATTATTTTGAATGAGAAAAATGCATAATAGTATGTATATTTTATATTTTCAGTTGAGTCTGTTTGGTGCTATACTTTTCTAATTATGTTGAAATTAATAAAGATAAGGTAGAATGTAGGTTTAACTGTTATATATAATTGAATTAAGGTATATCTGCAGGTAGCAATTTTAAATTTTGTTAAAAAAAAACAACATAAATAGAATATCGACTTGTACCTGGATCTACTTGCATATTTTTAAGATGGCATTTACTCCAGATAATTTTATTGTGAATGAAATAATTTTTTCTGTTCACCTGCTGAGATCAAAAGTCATCAGTGTAGAACCAGGCCAGTCTGTACATCCATACAGTCTCACCAGGCTCTATACTGTTGGTATCTCAATTTTTGTATTTTGATATTCGGATAAAAAAGATCAAATACCAACACAATTTATCAAAACACGTTTAGCTTTAATAAGATTCATCAGTTGATATATTTGATATTGAAATCCATTAAACTTCAAATGCACAGTTCCAAATTTAAAGCTGGCACTAAATCCATAAGATATATTCAGCAGGTGGAGAGATATCATAATAAATCATCCCCCTTTTGTTGATTTACAAAGAATCTCAGATGATCACAAATTATACTGTTGTTATGTAGTAATTTTGTATCTAGTGAATAAAATTCATGATTACGCATGTTAGTTGTGTTAATATTTATTTGTTTCTTTGTTAGTCCCCTTCCACGTTTCACTTGAGTTGACTAGTTTACCCTCCAGTCCATTTGTCGTTCATCATTTCAAAGAAATCTTGATCCTGCCATCCAGCTAGGTTATTGGAGGTCAATAGCCCAGGTGTTGGCTCGTGCCTGAAATAATGCTGAGAGGGTCTCTGTAGGGGTTCTTCAACTAGTAAAACTGGAAAATCAACATATGCTGTTAATTATGATAGTGTGACTTTACAAAAGATTTTTTTGTGTCCATTGTATATGGTATCAAGGTAAGTTATTATCATCACTAACTGTCCATCAGTCTATCTGTCAACACTTCCTTCACTAAACTACATGGTCATTAATGATAAAACTTAAAACTGATCTGCTTTTAAAGTTGTTCAAAAAATTCATTCCATGCAGAATTCTGGTTGAAGGAAAAGAAAAATATATTTAAAAATCATCTGAAACAATATATGTTAGAGCTTAGGAGCTGTGAAGCTTAAAAGGTAAGAGCTTAGATATTGGTAAGAAACATAATCTATTAGGCCTCTAAAGCGTATTTTGACATTCTTTTATTATCCCCCGCCGATGGAATCGGGAAGGGGATATAGTTTTGGCGTTTTCCGTCCATCCATCCGTCCGAATTTCGTTTCCGGAGTAGTTCTCTGCAACTACTGGCTGGAATTCAACGAAACTTTATGGGAATCATCAATATCAAGAGGAGATGCGCATATCGTCGGCTTGTTCCGGTCCGACCCTTAAACTCAGAGTTATGGCCCTTTTTTTAGTTATGTAGTATGCATATAGAGTAAAAATCGTTTCCGGAGTAGTTCTCCTGCAACTACAGGCTGGAATTCATCGAAACTTTATGGGAATCATCAATATCAAGAGGAGATGCGCATATCGTCGGCTTGTTCCGGTCAGACACTTTAACTGAGAGTTATGGCCCTTGATTAGTTATGCAATATGCATATGGAAAGTAAAAATCGTTTCCGGAGTAGTTCTCTGCAACTACTGGCTGGAATTCAACGAAACTTTATGGGAATCATCAATATCAAGAGGAGATGCGCATATCGTCGGCTTGTTCCGGTCAGACCCTTAAACTCAGAGTTATGGCCCTTTTTTAGTTATGTAGTATGCATATAGAGTAAAAATCGTTTCCGGAGTAGTTCTCTGCAACTACAGGCTGGAATTCATCGAAACTTTATGGGAATCATCAATATCAAGAGGAGATGCGCATATCGTCGGCTTGTTCCGGTCAGACACTTTAACTGAGAGTTATGGCCCTTGATTAGTTATGCAATATGCATATGGAGTAAAAATCGTTTCCGGAGTAGTTCTCTGCAACTACTGGCTGGAATTCAACGAAACTTTATGGGAATCATCAATATCAAGAGGAGATGCGCATATCGTCGGCTTGTTCCGGTCAGACACTTTAACTCAGAGTTATGGCCCTTGATTAGTTATGTAGTATGCATACATCTCATTGGCATTTCCAGATTTTACTATTTAACACAAAGTTATGGCTCTGTTATTGCCCTGAATATTTATCAAGTTCAAAGAATATTACTGTTTATGCCATGATTGATATATAAATAAAGCCTTATGTCTTCAGTTGTTGTGTTAATAATAACC